TCTTCTATTATACTTGAAGTATTTTTCCGAGAGTAATTGAAAAAATTATTAGCACAATTCTTGAGAGATTAAAACATAAAACACGATGTGTTTACTCTTAATAATTCCAAGAAGGTTGTTTTATTATTCCATTCATCTTGGAATACATTTTTTCAACATCCATTTATGTGGTCCTTCAGAAATGTCATAAGGAAATAGTTCACACATTATAAAAAAAAAACTTTATTCATATACGTCAACGTCTTCAACAGTTTGTGATGCGGGGAGGAGACGAGGCATAAGTGTTGCTAAGGCGTCTGTCACGATCTGTGATGAAGGGAAGACCTTGCTAGAGATCTCTATAACGTCTGTGATGTGTCATCACTAGCATGTCTGAGACGCATCGATATTAATGTCTACGATGGTCTTGGTGGCATATATTTCTATTCTGTTTACTTCAACTAGAGCCATTAGGTTCAAAATTTCCGAACTTGGACCTGACAGAATCTAATCTCAATACTCCTGTTATATAATATTTCAATAAAGTAGAAGGTTTCAAAATATAGGATCATAAAAAACTTCACAACTTAGTAGAATAAAAAAATCACTTTTGCTTAAATGTTGCTTTTAAAGTAACGACAAGTTTAAAGTTAAAACTGAAGAATTGCTAAAAAAAAAGGAATATCAATTAGTATGAATCTAACATTGAATGTACTTTCACTATATTTGAATTTTTTTATTCAGCAAATCAATATATGCCTAAACATGAATGTACAAAACAATGGAGAACTTTCAGTACTACATGAACACAAGAGTGTGCTTTAAAAAAAAAGTGCTTTTATTTTGATGATAGATTGATAAAATCCTCTGCATATTTTATATAAATGCATAGATAGATAATTAACTGAAAAGCTCAGTTTTGTAGAGAAAAGTTAAAGTTATCATTTGGAAAGAAAATTGTTTGAACTTCATCGAGATCGTAAAAAGTTGTAGTTTCTTTTATCATACATGTCTCAGCATTTTACATCTTACTTTGTTCAGCAGAAACACAACATATTCTTGTAACATCTACATGATTAAAATTGAACAAAATATTAATTGTTAGATATTTTTATACGATTTGATATAGTTCAACAAGCACTTCAAAAAATATGAATATCAAAAGAATCTTCTAATCTTGTTTCCAAGACAAAACACAGAGAAAATCAGACAGACTAATAAAAACTTCACATACATTGCGCGGGAGAGTATATTCAACTTTCAATAAAATTAGTTGATCAACTGAGGATTGATTATTTAAGATGTAGTATCAGATATTGATGCTGTACTCAATACATAAAAATTTTATTAATCTGTCTCGTATAATCCAAGCATTGTTTTGGTAATAAGATCAGTTTTGTTTTGTATATTCATAATCTCGTAGAGCTTGTCGAGTTTTATTGAACCGAATCAAAATCTATAGAAAAGAATATTTCGCTTCAGACATTACAAGCATATATTTTATTTTTGAAAAAAAAATGCTTAGATATGATCTTTAAAACAAGTATAACTTTTTTATAATATCGATGAAATTCAAACTCTTATCTTTTCTGATAATAAGTTTAATCTTTCTCTACAAATCTGTATATTTCAGTAAACTATCTACATTTATCTTCATTTAGATAACGTCGATTAACAGACAGGGGTCGAAACTCTTGAATAATTCTTTATTAATCAAATGTTGTACTTGTTCTTTCGTTTCTTTCTGTAAGAAACATATAACTATAAATAATTAGATTTTAGCTTCAGGTTTTCGACGAAAATCAATTTATTATGCTGTAAGGTTCGAAGATTTTCAATAGATTCATAAGGAATTAGTAAATTATTTAAATCGATTGATAGATTGGTTGCCATTCACACTGAAAGATGTAGACGTATTTTAACATTGTGTCTTTCATCAAAGTAATATAAGGAAAGTATAAGTATTAGGGACTCATATCTATTAGTGTATTGAAAGACTGTCATGACCAAGTTAGATAATATCAAGAGGCTTTTGAAACGTCTTGAAGTAGATTTTCATTTTATTATAATAAGTTTATCGTTTAAAAGTAAAAGTATAATTAACAAAAAACTTTCTCTATTTTGAAAATACCATATGAAGATTATCGAGTATAATTTTTTTCAGTAAACTGTAAACATAGTTCGATTGAAATTTACAGATTATATTTAAAAATATCATCACTAAAAATTATCTTTTATTCAAATGATTTCAATGTGTATCAGTATCGAATTTACAAGATTTTCTACAACGAAAAATGTCATTCATCGATTATTTATCTCATTGACACTTCTTAGGATTACAAAAAACACACAGTAGTGGATAAAAGCCTGTCATTTCTGTCTACATCTTGACTATCATAAATGTTACGGATTAGAAAACTTGTGTGTAGATACTTTACTAAGAACACTAGCCTGAGACAAGAGTTTACCTCCATTGTTTCAGTGAAACGAGAATTATGATAGATAGTAATAGATCGTATCGATTTATCTTTTTAACTTCATAACTTTGAAAAAGAATTTTTTGGCTTGGCATATTCTTCATTATTTAGAGTATTGCGGGGAAGGCACTATCTACTGGTCTTTGGAAACCATAACTCATTAATAGTTCAGTGAATCAAGCTAAAACTTGTATATCAGCTTCTTGTGAAATTGACCATTGTTACATACAATGTTTTTAAATCTTGTGTTTAAGAAAAAGAGTATGAATTGGACTCTAATTACATGCTAAAATATCAAGGTTTAATCAATTACTTAATAAAATATAATAGAGAATTTAGTACATAATCTTTTTCAGGCTAGAAGCTTGAAGCCAAAATAAATGTCCTTCATCATAATTCTCGTTGTATTTGAGCAATCAGGATGGCTTCGTACTTCTGAACTAAATTGTTAGTGCACATCAATTTTCACACTTCCAACAACTATAATAGACGAACTATGGGGGTGGAAGACTTTGGTTCACGACTATATGATTTTTCTTTATTTTACAAAGATAGTCCTCATTTGTATTAGAAATAATTCGTATGTAGTAAGATCTATAAGAAGCTTTTTTTTTCTATTAGTTATCTATTCATCGCATATTATTTGAATGAAAATTCTATTAAAACATGATTTAGATTAACAGATACGAAATTCATGACCTGTCTACGTTTTTTAATCAAATAAGAGAGATAAAAGAGTATTTAAATATATGTTGACCTAAGGTGCAAATGTTTTTCATGCTTCAGTAAGTATCTTCATTTGTCGAACACAATTCCATTGCATATTGTTTTTTTTGACTCTATGAGATTAAAAAAAATATTTCAAAAGACTCTAGTCTCATTATTCTTTGCACTACACATCATAGTCATGTCTTGTTTCAAAAAGAACATGAGCAGATTCATAGAAAATTCCAATGGAAAAATCTAGAAGTCTAGAATTTCAAAGTTCTATCAAAAGAAACGGTAGATCTGAATATCTTCTGCCTCATATTAGTCACAGAGAAATTAATATATAATCAGCTTGTGAAGTCGAGCAGTACTCGATAAGTACGGATGTTCTCTCATTAGTTTCTATTCTTGAGAGTTGCAAAAAAAATTAATAATAATTATGTTTTTCTTTTCTTTTCTTTTCTTTCAACATAGGTTAATTGTCTACAAAAATTCTACATTATTATTTATGTTATCTTTTTCAAGATTACAAACTTCTTTTTTTGAGTGTGTTTTCATGTAAAATAAATTATTATTATAAAATGTAGATGATTGACTTTGTTATAAAAAGTTTTTGTTCTATTTTTTTGGTACAATCTCTACCAATAGATTGCATGCTTTGTAGTATGTTTATAAGAAACTTTAATAGCGAAAACACTGTAGAATATATAATACAATGAAGCATAATAAATTTCTTCTCATGTCTTATTGAGAAAAATTAATTCATGATATTTTATAAACATTGGAAATCATGCCTTTTTTAAGAGTTAGAAAAAAAGAAAAGTAACATTTTTGATGATCTTTCATTAGAAGGTTAAAAATGTTTACGCCATTTTTCTATTCATAATAGAGATGTTTTATTTAATTACATGTTTTTTCAAGTTGAAAATCATATCGAAGGACAACATATAATTACATGCTTTTGCTGTGGTAATGTTTTCTGTTCATGTCATTATAACATTCATAAAATTAAGTAAATCTTAGTTGTCTTCATGACATATATTGCACTCTAAAGTTCTCTATAAAATCTTATATTGTTGTTTTTTTCTACAACATTATGTAGTTTATTCTTTTTCTTTTTTTTTAATTTTTTTATTAGCGTGGACATAATTTCATTAAAGATGATCTTTCTTCTAATATTACTACGACGACAACAGCAAACAATAATAACATCTTAGCTGATGATGATTTGCCTGAAATTGTTTCTATTGTAAGTTAAAATACATAATTTTGAACAAATATTAGTAACTATGCATTAGTAACAAAGAATGTCATAATGACAGAAAAGAAACGCACTTGAACGCAATTCTCGTTCAAACTATAAATGCTTAAATAATTCTCTTAAATAATCAATGTTACATAAGATTATAGTCATTGACAATGTATCCCCTTTGCCATACTACAACTGTCTCATTAGTTAAAAAGAAAAAGAAAGATGACGTCAATATTTAGTGCCGTTTTTTGTGTGGCTGAATGTTCTTACATTTAATGACAACACTAATAGTTCGTTTGTCGACGTCAAACATTTGTTGTGAAGAAATAGGGAGTACTTTTTTTCTCTTCTTACTCTCTCTTTTTTCTCTGTTGAAAAACTTATTTGCCCACGCATTCTCCTTTTTTTTTTCTTTCTATATTTTGATCTTTTCCTTTTCACTCGTTCGTAATATATCCTATATATGTGTTGACCATGTACTTTAGATAATATTCATCAGTCATTCTTGATTTCATGCCTATATAAACAACCGTACCTTTTAGTCTATATTAATGAAAGACATTATATTACAACATAACGTTTGTATGGATTCTCTTGAGCTTCCTCATGTCGCCGATCGTCATAAGTTTTATTTGAGTTCTTGTGAATCAGGCACTGGAATTGATATCTCAGATTCAAATATATGTTCACGACATTCATCGTCATCGTCATCATTTTCATCATCAAATATTGGTTTATCAAGAACAATATCATCCATTCATACAAATAATTTTTTGAATGTACTTAAACGTTTACATTGTATGACACTTCGACGTCAAAAAAATGGTCGATATCAAGCACTTTCATCTTCATTACACCTTTTCTTTAAAAAACCTCAACATTCATCACTAGATCAATTTTGTAAATCATCATCTTATCCACAATTGAGAACAATAATATTCAATAAAGAAAAATGTCCCATAATCAAAACAAGTAAAAGTGATCATCAATTATATATTATCAATGCAAATAAAAATAAACAATCTAATACTAAAACTAATCATTTTCATACTCAAAAACTATTATCACGACTCACAAGAGCATCGATTAACACAGTTAGTGAAGATAATAATACAAATACAATGAGTTCGTTCGATTTACATGCAATACCACCCACAGTATGTATCACGGATACACATTCTTCAGCTACATATGCACAACAGATTATACCTAACGATGTCAAACTTGTAAGTAATTTTTTTTTATTGCAAAACAATACCCTCATCATATTTGTGAATAACTATATAGTATTATTATTTATGTAGTAGCGTCTTTTTTTCATCGTCTATCAGCTAGTTCAATACATTAGTAGAACCTGTAGGTTATGTTCTATTCTCTTTCATTTGTTTTTCTTATCTACGAATGATTACTTTTATTAAAAACAAAAGCTCCCTGTTCGTTGACCCATAACAGTTTCAATTTCTGCTTTGTAATCCAAACAAAAAATAAACAGAAAGCTAACATATATGCATAATTAAAATCACGGATCCTATCGTGATTGGTATATGATTTTGAGGCAAGACAATGAATCTTTTCCTTTCCTTACATGTGTGCGCATTCACTGCTGTTACATAAGACGTCATCAACGCAACCCACGACAGCATGCATATTTTTATTTCTACATACATACAATAGCACTCATGGAATACAAATTATTTTTTATATTACCATTTATATATTGATTGTGTCTATTGAAACTAAAAGAAAAAGAGAAAGCTTGCGTAGGATGTGGGTACAATGACTTTGGTTTTTTTTTGATCTAATGTACTTTTTAGTATTCCAAAAATATCTGAAGATCATATGAAAAACCACGTAAACAAAAGATGTTATATATAGGATCTATTGAAAACAGTATTTATTCGTCATAGATCGAGAAAGAAAATATTTTATTGAATCTATTTTCTCTATATTAATCAAACGTACTTGTTTTTCTTATGTATTGTTTCTGGTAAGAATAGGTGGCAACGAAGGTATCGTCCTTGTTTTTTTTTTCATGATTGTTTTTATTGTTGTTATTGTGTTGTGCTATTATTTTACCTTGGAAATATGTATTGATGTACGCAAAAATATTTGCGGACAAAACATATACAAATTCATAACAACAACAGTCACGAAAGCTACTTATTCAGTAATATGCAACTATGCTATTATAAACCAAATTTCGATTTTTTTTTTCTTTTTTGACATGACCCAAGAACAGAGATAAATAAATGTCAAGACACAAATTTATATTGATAAATTATTTTTTCTATCATAGAGAAATATATTGATTGCGTTGCTCCATGTGAGCAGCATCGATACAAGTGAAAAAGCACTGATTAGAGTCTAATTACTATCGTCGTCATGCATGAAACCCTTCATGATGATGATGGGGAGACATTAGTCTAAAGTACACGTGGGGTTTAAGACGAGAGAGACGAACAAGTGATGGGACGATGTTGTTTTTTTTGTCCCTTCAGTGTAGAAAATTGATAAAATGACGACTTCATGTTTTTGTTCGTTTATGAATATGATATGACAGTGAGCACACGTGTAGAGCAAAGTATGCATTGAGAAAAATCGGGCATATTCGGCCGTCATTTTCTTTATCAAATATTTTGATCAAATGACTTATGAATAACAGGGGTTTGTTTATGCGTGACATATATATTATGTGTTTTCTATCAAAAAATTATTCAACATGTTACAGACGCTTCTTTCGTTTGCATGGATTTCATACGATGAAAAAAATAGTCGTCCACAGTCTTTTATAACAAATGTACAATAGAAATTTTTTCCATGATAAACAAAAAAAAGATACCAATAAATATTTTATTATTTTAGGACGAACAAAATAGTAATGAACGTGAAATTGAAATTACAAATATTACCAAAGAAGGATGCGATCGAGCCGAATCATCTCAATTTGAACTCTTACAAACACTTGGTGCGGGTTCATTTGGAAAAGTAAAAATCTATTTTTTTTTATAATAAATAAAATCATATTTTCTTTATTAATAAAAGGTTTTTCTTGTTCGTAAAATCGTGGGTCCCGACACAGGAACATTGTATGCAATGAAAGTATTGAATAAAGCTAGTCTCAAAGGTTAGTTGATACCATATGAGAAAAGAAAAATAAACTCTTGTTTTACTTATCTATTATTTTTTTTTTAAAACAGTTCGTGATCGTCAACGAACGAAAATGGAACGAGATATACTTGCACACATATCGCATCCATTTATTGTTAAACTTCATTATGCTTATCAAACACAAGGCAAAGTTTATTTGGTGCTCGATTTTTTACGTGGTGGTGATCTTTTTACACGTCTCTCTAAAGAAGGTATCTATTAATATAAATATCTATTGATAATAAATAATTTCTTTTTTGTCTTTTAGTCATGTTTACTGAACGAGATGTTCAATTTTATTTAGCTGAATTAGCTCTTGCACTTGATCATTTACATTCATTGGGTATTGTATATCGTGATTTAAAACCTGAAAATATTCTTCTTGATTCTGATGGTCATATTGCTTTGACGGATTTCGGTTTATCAAAAGAATCTATACCAACACAAGATTCAAAAACATTTTCATTTTGTGGTACTGTTGAATATATGGCACCAGAAATTGTTTCACGTAAAGGACATTCACATGTTGCTGATTGGTGGTCATTTGGTGTACTTGCATTTGAAATGCTTACTGGACATTTACCATTTCATGGTGCAACTCGTAAAGATACGATGAATATGATATTAAAAGCTAAATTAGCTATGCCAACATATCCATCAGCAGAAGCACAAAGTTTATTACGAATGTTATTTAAACGTAATCCAGCTAATCGATTAGGTTCTGGACCAGATGGTTTTCGTAATATACAAAAACATCCATTTTTTGCATCGATTGATTGGGATAAATTATATAAAAAAGAAATTGAACCGCCATTTATACCACCAATTCATAATGACTATGGATATTATTTTGATAAAGAATTTACATGTAAAACACCAACAGGTAAATATAAAATTTTCTTTTTATTTATTCAACTTTAGTTTTCTTTTTATTAATAAAGATTCACCTGGTATCCCACCAAGTGCAGATGCTTATAATACATTCCAAGGTTTTAGTTACATTGCACCAGATTTAATACATGCTCGTCAACAAGATCCAGCTTATGCCAATGAAGTTGAACGACGTTTAAGATCAATAAACGGTGTTAAAACAACACCATTCAAAGATGAATATGAATTAAAAGAAGCATTAGGACGAGGAAAAACTTCAACTTGTTATCGTTGTATACATAAACAAACAAATGTTGAATATGCTGTTAAAATAATAAAAGATGTACATACGAATGATCCATCAGATGAAATTGAATTATTATTTTTTTATAGACAATTAACACATATTGTTCGAGTAAGAAAATTATTAAAGAGCAAAAGCATAATGATAAAACTCCAATTATTTTATTGTTCTTTTTGTTGTATTTAGATAAGAGATGCTTTCTATAATGCACCTATAGCTTATATAGTAACTGAATTAATGCGTGGTGGGGAATTATTTGATAAAATTTGTCAAGAAAAATCTTTATCTGAACGTGAAAGTGCAAAAATAATGTATGTGATTATTAAAACAATCGAACAATTACATAGAAATTCCATTGGTAAATTATTTTAGTTTTATAATAGGAAAATTTTATATTTATTGTGTTTTAGTACATCGTGACCTTCAACCACGTAATATAATGTATCTTGATAAAAGTCGTCGACCATCTTCATTACGTATTGTTGATTTTGGTTTTGCAAAACAACAACGCGCCGAAAATGGTTTATTAATGACACCATGTTTCACAAAAGAATACGCTGCACCTGAAGTTTTATCAAGGAAAAAATACAATGAATCTTGTGATATCTGTTCGTTGATTTTCTTATTTTAATTCTTAAAATGAAATATTATTGTTTTCATTTAGGGAGTCTTGGAGTTCTTTTATATACTCTATTATCTGGTAATACACCATTTGCAGTTGATCGAAATGATTCTCATGAACTTATTCTTGCTCGTACTTCTCTTAAATTACAATTTACTGGACCAACATGGGACAGAGTTACATATAATGCTAAAGTAATTCTTTATAAGAAATTCTATGATAAAATATTATTCCAAAATAATTTTTAGGCACTAGTAAGCGCCATGCTTGATGTTGATCCACAGAAGAGGCCAACTGCACTTGAACTTTGTAAACATCCATGGTTCTCTAATATTGATAGTTTACCTAATGTAAAATTAGCTACTATTCAAGATTATAATCGTGTCCGAGTATGTTATTCTTATGTTTTATTTAAAAAAGAATCAAATTAATAAATTTTGTTTTTATTTTTTTAGCATAATCTTGATGCTACGTTTAATGCCATTAATGCTAATTCAAATAAAACATTAGCACTTGGTCCAATTGGTGATTCAAATTTATTCAAACGTCGTACTGAAAGAACTCTTCATCAACAAAAACTTGAAAAAGTAAAATAATTTTATGTTTCAATTTGTATTTTATTTTTGTCAAACAAATGATGTTTTGTATCTATTCATTTTTTTTCTTGATTTTGATGGTATAAATGTGTCTTTTCAGATTATGCCTCAATTGAATAATTTCTTTTTCTCTTCGTTGTTTTTATTTTTATTGTTGTTCGTTTTGTTTTTTTTTCTTGTGTGTTTACTGTATTCGTAATGCAATTTACGACAGGAAAAATATAAAGAGATTATTTTACTATTCAATTTTCTTTGATTTGCTTATCGTAATTAGAAAAAGAGCTTTTTCTTTCTCTTTGAAAAAATTAGAAAACGATATGATGAATTCAATGAAGAATTATAGAGAGAGACTGAAAATTCTAGTATTTATTAATATTCAATTAGATCATAATTCTTTTAATATTGTTAACTAGTATTTGGTAACTAAAAGCATTCACACGTTCTTGTTAAGTTTAGATAATGAAGGACTACTCAATCGTCCAACTGTGATTTACATCGATAGATAAAAAAATTTTGCTCTATGCTCTTACGACCTTTTCAATGTTTTTATGCTTCTCCTTCTCACGAAAAATGCTTAAGACTAACACTTCCCGATTTGTTTGAATTCATTATTAAAAATCAAGTTTTTCAAAGTTAGATCTGATTGATAAGACGCTCTCATGTGCTCGTACAACAAAAAGTAGAACGATTAATTAGTTGGACAGACGTATGAAATGATACCAAATTTTGTAGAGAATATTGTGAAATAATTAAATTTTCAGTGAGATTGTTATTAAAATTTGTCATCACTTTGTTTCGTTTTTTATTCTTCGCAGTTGGACTATTATGCACCGTTAAATTTTTTGAGTTTCACGCAAACAAAATTATTTCATTTGCAAAGTAAAGTTACTGATTTTGTAGAGCAATAAACTCTATACAGAACAAGCTCATAGACAGGTTTAACGTTACTTTAAAATCTGCAGCGCTGAAATAATTTATTTGTTACATTCATTATAACATATGTAAAAAGAAGATCGAAAACATCTGATTAAAATAATGCTATTTTAGTAGGTTTGTGGTGTGGATATGGAAGAAAGAAGAGAAGATCGATGTGGATAAGGAAGCATGAAGTGAATTCGAAAGAATTGACTGCGCCAAAGTGACATGAACGTCTCGTTCAACAATATTTTATTGGACTATCGATCGAAATCCCTCTGTCAGTATTTTCTTTTGTTTGATAATTAAATTGAGGATGAAAAGACGAGATCATGCATATCTATTTCTTGTGATTTTTGAGATTCTCTATCATATGATTATTTGTGCAACATTCGTATTGCGTATCACTTTCAAAAATATCTCGGACATCGGTTTCGCTTTATAACTTTATTTCCATGTCCAAACACTGCACCATTCACTTTAATTCATCGATAAAATATTTCCACATTTGCTCATGGCTACCATTGATGAAAAAACAAAGTGGCACCAATCCAATAACAAGCTGATTGTCATATATTAGAAAGAACATATATATTATATACGTGAAAAGGAAATTAAGGATGGCATTGGAATCACTAGTAGACGAGTTCTTGCTCGAGATATTTGATTTTCCAGATTTTATTCTTTTGATTTGTATTTTTTACTGTTTCAAACTCTTGCGTCAATACGCTTCTTGTTGGTTATTTTTGGTATCCGCATCTCGATTCAGCTCTGAGAAGATGATGAAACACTAAATTTACTCAGAGAGAGAAAATCAGTGTCGTTTTGACAATATTTATTTCTCTTTCAAATTTCTTTCTTCTGACTATTACCAGACAATCCAAAGGGAATAGTGACGATATTAATAACTTGGCTAAGGGTGTGACTCTGTATAAAGATTGCAATCTCAAAATCATACCCACCCATCCAACCTTTACTAGCTGTATCGAATACCGTTGTATGTCCTGTATTTGTTCTCAATCATCGCTCAACTCTGTTTTCTTCCTCTTCTTACGCTTGGATGAGATAGTTCATTACAAAACTAAATGTCTGCTTTTGCTATATATGATTTCATACTCGGTCAATCTATCAGAGGAAGAGAAAGTCAAGATATGAGCACAGCAAACACATTACAAGTGACAACCAGAGAGCATGATTTGCGAGTTCCTAAATCTTCGTGACACACAAACAAAAGACTTGGGTATTAGTTGCATGCTTCAACATACCGATCCATTTGTAATCCAGTTGAGATATCATCCGATCGGATCGATATATACGACGACAAAAAAACGAAAAAAAAGGACTTTCTGTGTCATAGAGTATCCTTCATGTTATTTATTCATGTTTAAGCGATACTATCTTCTTTCGTATTAAGAATTAAAAAAATAATTAAATGACAGCTCTGCCAGTCATTTTTTTTCTTGTTCTCTTTCGCTCGTGTTTCCATGTGACTCACAAATAAAATGAATCATGCTGGAGACACGTAGCATATATTAGTCATATTCTCCCATGAGCTGACATAACGAAACTTTTTCTTTCTTAACTAGGATTCTTACCTATTTCATTGTAGTTACGTTTCGTTTATTTTTTTTTGATACTGTTCTACTTGTCATGGGCATTGGCACCAGTACACCTTTACCTAAACTTCAAGAAATTCATATGTCACCTGGTGACGATGAAACATTTCAACCGGCACCACTTTCCATTGATGCTGATGGATTTATTGTGGCGTTAAACATTGACCAAGAAGAGGAAATTTTGAAATTTTTCGAAAAACATGGAGTTGTTGTTGTTGCAAATGTTTTAACTGATGAACAATGTGAACGTAGTGTCGATGATGTATGGCGCTTTTTACAAGAAATGTTCAATCCAGATATTCAACGAGATCAACCTGAGACATGGAGTTATAAATGGCCGAGTTTTTCTAAAATGGGCATACTCGGTAATGATCGTTGGCTCTATCCACAAGCATGTGATAATCGACAAAATCCGAATATTTATAAAGTTTTTCAAATATTATTTGGTGAACACGAATTAATAGTTAATATTACGCGAGCTGGTCTTATGCGGCCAACCAGGAATATTTATTTTCCATCTCGAGATCAAATTGAAGATAGAGAAAATTGGAAAACAATATCAGAATGGCTTCATCTAGACATGAATCCATTGACTGGTCGAGCAACAACATACGGTTTTGAACATGTAGCCGAAGGTCATTTCGAGTTTAGTAAAGATCCACTTTGTGCACAAAATCAACTGACAAATAATGGTATGCGTAAACGGAAATTGCAAGCAATATTAGCATTGGAGGACTGTCGTGAAGAAGACGGTGGATTTCATGCAGTACCTGGTTTTCAAAATTATATTACTACATGGACAAAACAAAATCAACAATTATGTCTCGATACGAATCAAGGTAGAGATCCGACTACGGTTCAAATTCCGAAAGATGATCCTATACGACAACATATTCAACGAATGCCAATACGTAAAGGTAGTTTACTTGTATGGGACAGTCGATTGCCACATGGTAACTATCCGAATAATTCAAATCATATGCGAATTATTCAATATTTACATATGGCACCAATAACAGATGAAGCTCTGCGTCCTTTTCCATTAACAAAGAAAGACTTACCGGAAACATTTCAATTAACTGAATTAGGCGAAAAATTGTACGGTTTCAAACCATGGGAATCGGTAATTGCACGTACACGTTTTCGTGAAAAGAGAAATCAACGAGTTCTAGAACAAGCCGAGTACGAACGTCAATTGAGAAATGCAATGAAAGCCCAATGTCAAGAAGCTAAGACGAATTAAGAACAGAAATATGCTTGTCATTTAACGAACAAATTCTTAAGTGTCAAACTAAAAATTTACAATGAATACTTTTTACTTTAAAATATGAGCAAATAAAACTTGTGATTTAGCATAACACCATTTTAATTATAGGCAGCACAATATTATTCACCAATTTAGCTGCAATCGACACTGAATTTCATATACTGTTTAGTGCATTATATCTTTCGACACTCGAGAGGAACCCTTTGTTGGAGCTATTATCATTCTAGTCTGAATTTTTTGTTTCGAGATCAGTTCATTATCATGGAACAGGATAATTTAGAAAAAAAATCAGAATGAATATTCAACGAAGAGTTCAACACGAATTGTCCGATCATCTTCGTTACATATTACTAATCACAGTAGGAAACAGAGATGCACGGTCCACGGGGTTCACCCCGCGGGCCCCGCGGGGCCACGTGGCGACGGGCGGGCGGGGAAGCAAATTTTAATTAAATACGGGGTTAACGGGGCGCGGGTATTTGCCAGCCCACGGGCGGGCGGGGCGGGGAGCAAATTTTTAAAATGATACGGGTCTCGGGCGGGGCGGGTATGAAACACACGGGTTCGGGCGGGTAAACATTTTTTTTCGGGTGTGATAAAGAACCGTCAAAGTTTATGAAGAGATGTTATTACTACAGATATGCATAGTACAAAGTACATATCAATTGGTTTATTGATTTGATTCTATTAGGTGCAAGCTTGTCTGTTATTTGTGTCTTTCTTTCTTTCTCCTCCGTCATGCACAGTTTCCACTACTAATTTATACTAAGTGAATAACTGGACTAAAACTTATTTTATATTTATTAAGAAACACTGCGCAGTAAAAACTTCTTTTTCTTATCAAAATTCAGATTTCTTAACGATGAAATCATTGTAGAATGAATAAACATTTTTTATTGTTTTAGTAGAACATAACGCTGAAGACGATAGCTTCTTGAAACAGAATTAAAGTGATTGACTCGAAAGAGTACAATTCATTCGAATAGGAACTCGCGATTCCGAAGTAATAGGCACAAAACTATATCATTTATTATCTTTCATTGTTGAAGTCACTCAATAATTAATGAAGTTCTATTGCAAATTCAAAACTGAACTGAAGAAAAGAAGCCAGCAAATCGAAACGTTAAAGAAACGAAGTAATTCGCGAAACGAAAACTTTTCAAAATACAGGGAAACTATACAAGATAATTCACTAATTTTCACCAATTTTCTTCAGGTTATTGTATTTCTACAAAACATCAGGAACTTTTTTATTATTATATGATCAGATAGAGCTTTGATTACTTCATCCAATGGTAGTTTTTCTTTGATCTGTCTTACGTGTCGGTCAAAAAATGAGTAAGTTTCGTGAAGCAGGCAAAAAATTTTTTGCCAAATTTCAACATGTTTTCTTCGAGTAATTATAACATATTGGACAAATAAATATATTTTGTTTTGAAATAGTTTGATAGAGTATCTTTTATCATTTTAATTTTCAAATTAACTGCAAATTTCATGAGTGTTTAACAAATGTTTCGGATACGTTTTCAATTATTTGCCTTGGTCCAGTTAATTTTAATCCTTTAGCTATATCTATCTTTTCCATTAGTATACAGTACAATGGAGCAGCGATTTCTCCAGTAATTCATGCAAGTTTAGCCTGACTTCGTTATAAAATTTTATAGCTCAATTTAAGATTATATGAACAGCACCGGAAATGAAGTAATTCGAATGTGTCTAAAGTTCCAATAGTAAAATTTTATTTTCTTCTCAACTTCGAAACATTTTTATTTAATACTTTGTGCAAGTTTAAGCATGAAGGATCTCATCTATGTATGGTTAATTTTGCGACAATCGAATTTAGCCTGAGTCAAGTATATAAGTTTGCGAAGGGAAAGGGTATTGATATTTCAAAGTATCTGTCCTACCAGCGTTGTTGAGGATGAAAGTTTTTAAAAAAATATCCAACAGCCTCTTAGCTAGAATGGTGATGAGATATCTGTTTATAAAAGGAATGTATGATTAAAAAGTATTTAGTAAATAAAAAATTTCTTCGGGTTACACGGGGGCGGGGCGGGGCCCGTCGCAAAAATGACGAGTCGGGCGGGCCGGTCCAAGAAGCTGCCTGTGCGGGGTACGGGCGGAGCGGGTATGGATTTTTCGGGGCACAGGCGGGGCGGGGATTTTCATAAAACTTATACACGGGGTTCGGGCGGGACGGGTTTGTGAATTTCACGGGGCGGGCCCCGCGGGGCTTGAAAAATCGATGCCCCGTGCATCTCTGGTAGGAAAAACATATGTCAGTGAAAAAAAGACTGCATCTTTACATGTGTTCTACGTAATGAGATTGAATCTTTTTTCTTTCTCACATGGTGACCATTAACTCCATTCTGCAGCTGGAAAGAAAAAACAGATGACAAGAGAACAGAAAAAATCCGGTAAAGAAGGAAAAAAATAGGAAAGAAAGAAAGAAAAAAGTTGGAATGTCAACAAGCAAACACGAATACTCGAGAATATTCACGGTAACTCTTCAATATTCTACTTTTGCATGATCAGCCTTATGAATAGGTGTCCATGCATGCTATAACAAGCTTTCTCAACAAAGACTTCTTCCATTTCAACAATGGCATTCTTTCCAATCTATCATTATCGTCTTTACGATTATCCAATCGATCGATACTTTGGTGATCGATTGGATTTCTTTGATCCATGGCATGATTTAAATACATCACCAATAGCTGTTGTTATAATTCCAAATACTTTTCGATGGGTTAATGAACCACAACGATCAATGCAATCATCAGGTAATGCACAAGCTAATGATAAAAATGCAAATACAATGACGAGAGCACCTAATTTGGAAAAATTTCGTGTTCAACTTAATGTAGCTGGATTCAATCCAGAAACAATTGCAACAAAAGTTGAAGGTCGAAAAGTAATTGTTGAAGTTAAACAAGAAGAACGTCAACCTGATGGTGATTATAATATTCGAGAATTACGAATATCATATGCATTACCTGAATATGTTGGTATGTAAAAACTTATCTATTTGTATGAAATCTTAATACTCATCTTTTTTATTCGTATAGATCCGAATTGTTTAGCATCATATGTAACACCAAATAAGATATTAGTTATTGAAGTTCCAATTCATAATCCTGAAGCAGAACGTCGAGTTGCTCAAGCAAAGAATGAAAATCAAAATCTAAGTCAATTTGGTCAACATTGAGATCCACATTTTGATTATAGTAGTTTCTTGCATGGTTCAGATTTTCAACCACGAATTGTTGGCAAAGGTGACAAATAAAAAACAACTTGAAATGTCTATTGAAATGAAAAGCTATAAACCAGAAGAAATCAAAGTATCAGTAAAAAATAATGAATTGATTATCAAAGGTGAACGTCGATATAAAGATGATAATAGTTTTGAACGATCATTCTTTTTCAAATCAACAACATTGCCACCGGGTACACAAGTTGAACAACAAGAAGCTACAAAACCTGTTGAAGAACAGAAAAAATAAACTTTTACTATTTCTTTAACTTTATGTATAGTATTAGTTTTTTTGTGTTTATTAGATAGTAAAAAGTTAGAAAAGAAAGTCCTAATTCTCATTGATGTGCTGTTTTATAGCTGAAGAATAAAAGCAAATGCTTACATAATAATTGCTTAAGTGAAAAAAAGGTTGTTTTTTTAGCTTGAAATCAAAGAAGAGGTTCATGAGAGGTATTTTAGTGTCTTAAAGTCTGTTTATATTCATCAAAAGCTTTGAAGAGCCAATACTATATTTGGCTTGTCAACCTTTTGATTTACGAAGAGATGGGCATTCTTGTCCATTTCTTTTGGTTGATTCATGAATTTTTCCTTTTTTCAAAAGGAACACTTGAAATAGTTTTATCTCTAAACTTGCTAGATATGAATGAAAGAATATTAGAAGACAAACGAAAACTCAATAGTAGACTCTGAAAAATCTTTGTCAACTTAATTCAACTAAGTTCATGAATGCAATCAAACTGAGTTGAGTTGGTCGTTTTTCGAATTGAGTCGCCCAGCTATGTCGTATCTCATTGTTAACGGCAACATTCCTCAACTCGCGAAAAAGTCAAAAAGTTCCAGCATTATAACCATTTCACCATCTATTATATCTATCATGAAATTTTCAGTAACATTCTACTCAGGATGTGGGTATGGATGTTAGAGACTCGATCCACACATCCACATCCACACCTTAAAACGACGAGAAAGTAGTCCATGTGAAACATTATCGACTTTGTTATTTTAGAAACTTTCTTAGTAGTTTTTTAATTGTAAACAAAGCTCATTATACGTCTAACCTTTGACAGAAAGCATTACTCTGTATAGAAAATAAGGAACATAGAGGAAAATTTTTATTCATAGTCTTTAATCTGTTAATAAAGATTAAAACTAGTTTGAATCTGTAAATAATTGCATATTGATTCAAAATATGCATTTTAGAAAAAGAAGGGAAATTCATTCAGTATTTGAAAACGACTGATTAAGCCTAATGGCCTACTTTTTGAAACAGGAAAAAAAATTGTAAAACTTCAGTTGCAAGAAGAATCAAAACATAATTTATCATATGCCATTTGAAACAGTTATAAAATCACTTGTACTTGCTGTAATGATATAATTTCCAATGTATGCGGTTACATGAAAAAAATAAGTTTGATATAAGAGGTACATCTGGCAAAGACAGAAGCTGCAAGAAATTCTTAAGAGCCAGTCCATATAAGCCACGACCGATATAGCAGAGACTTGCTCAATCGATGTCGTCAGATCTTGCTCAATTTAACAAATGTTATAGAGGGAAGTATTCTAAGAATTTTGACGCAAGCCGTTTCTAAAAATATTTATCCCTTGATTTTTTATGAGCATTTTACTAAAAGCCCTAACAACAACCCATTTAAAAAACGGGAGTCCTAATGCAATGATATCTCACGAATGGCACAATAGATTTAGATGAAATTTTTTGTAGACATATAACTCAGTGAGTTCTATTAGCCATAAAATTTTTATTGAGAAATATTGAGCCATTGAGATTTTATGAAGCATACAATATGCGAAAAAATGCTGATTTTTGATAAATTTTGTACTTCATAACTTTTGATTGGAATGAGATCGAAGTCTGAAATTTTCAGCATAGATAGAGCACTACAAGATACATGTCTCCTGAAAATATCAGCTATCTATATTGTTCCATTCGCTCAGATGAGTTCTCTGAAAAACCGGTTTTTGATGAAAATGAGGTTTTTCTCGGTTCGCGTTCTCCCAAGAAATGGATTGCCTGGAAAGTTGGTCTTTAGAAGTTGGAAGTACTCTCTTAGTGCTATATGCCCATAAAAACATTAGCGTGGATTCCCTAGAAATGGCTTGCACAGGAGGTCATCTTTGGGAGGTGTATCTGAGATGGTTAGACCATTTTATAAGTCATGGAATGTAAACCTTGACCCTGTTTGTCCGAGACGGGGTAGTCGAATTTTGCTCAACTTAACATATGTTATAGAGGGAAGTATTCTAAGAATTTTGACGCAAGCCGTTTCTAAAAATATGGATCTTTTGATTATTTAGGAGCATTCTATGAAACGTCCTATTAAGGTTCCTCTTTCAAAATGGGGGTTTTAATGCAATAATATCTCACGAATGGCTCAACAGATTTAGATGAAATTTTTGTAAACATATATCTCAGTAAGTGCTATTTGCCATAAAATTTTTATTGAGAAATATTGAGCCATTGAGATTTTATGAAGCACACAATATACAGAAAAATGCTCATTTTTGGTAAGTTTTGTGCTTCATAACTTTTGATTGGAATGACATAGAAGTCTGAAACTTTCAGCATAGATAGAGCACTGCAAGATACATGTCTCCTGAAAATATTAGCTATCTGTATTGTTCCATTAGGTCGAAAGAGTCCTCTCAAAAACGAAAGTTTTCAGGGTTTGTTTCTCCCAAAATATAAATTACGTGGAGAGTTGGTCTTTATAAGTTGAAAGTACTCTCTTAGGGCTACAAGTCCAGAAAAAAGTTAGCGTTCCATCTCTAGAAATGGTTCGCACTGGATGACACCTTCCAACAGTATTTTTAAGATAGATATACCTTTTACACGAGTTTTGGAGTTCGATTTCTCGTCTCACCCATCTGTTAGATCCAAGTAATTTTTGATGGAGAACACGATGATCATATTCCTCTGTGTTTCGAACTTCCTTTACGTCAACAAAGCAAAGGCAATCATATTCAATAGGATTTGTCAGGTGAAACTTTATTGCTTTGAGGAGGATATTAAATAAGGGATATCCTTACTATTTGCATTATTACGCTTGTATATTTGAGCTCGAACAAGATTCAAGAATATATTTGAGATGGGATAGCTATTGATTTTGGAAGTCCTACTTCAGTTTTGCCTGGTATTATATGTTTTTCCATAGGAATATGAGATAGCTTTTCATTATCACTATTTTAATTTTGTGGGCAATGCTTTTTATTTGTTGTGTCTATCGGGTTGCTCTTTTTGTATTGCAGCACATATTTCTTTAGTTTGCTTGTACACATAATTTAGAGTAATGAGTGTATCTAGTACTAATCTGTTTTTATATAATTGAGACGTAGCGTGTACGAATAGAATTAAGTGTTGTGTTTCATCATGATCTTATATGCGAAAACGTAGATAAATTTCAGCTAGACGACTGCGAGTCTATATTATCGGCAATGATTTCCATTATAAGCTGTTGCTTCAGGGTCACATCGTACTTTTGATTTACACCCCTGGGCAAAAGTCTTTCCCCCACCTCTTTTTTCGGCAAGGTTTTCTCTGCTATTATAAGGACAAAGCATGGTGTTGTTCGGGCCATATAAAAGAGGACTCGTAATCGGCCCGAACAACACCATGTTGTGTCCATATAATAGTAGAAAAGCCTCGCTGAAAAAAGAGGTGGGGGGAAAGACTTTTGCCCAGGGGTGTAACTATCGAAATTGATACTTGATTTGATTTTTCGTAGGATACTCATGCGTCTGGAAAAACTTCAGTCCAGTTTGATCTCTTATTGAGCGTATCTGTTGCTGAATATCTTCAGGTGTAATCCTTGAATTGGTTTTAATCGAGTCGAGCCATTGTTGTTCGATGAAATTCTTTACTTTTTCACTCATTGGTTTGCCAAGTTTTCGTGTCCGTAGCGCCCAATCACAAGTCGAAAAGAAACGATTATGAGTAGATACTGACATGTCGTAAATGATATTATCGTGATATTGACGAATGGCGTCAGTTTCCTTACGGAATCTTGTTGATGTTGATCGTAATATCTCTGTTAGATGCATTCGAGCGATATCGTTTGCTGTTCTCGGTACATCTTCTGGAATAACATGTAGATTAACTGCGATATGTACGTCTAGTTCGATGTTTAATTCGAAAGTAGCAGTGCAGCCATTGATTGGACATAATGATAAATTATGATATTGCCGATCAGCTCTTCTATGTATCGTAAAGTTCAGTTCACTTTTTATGAAAGAAACATGGTACCTTTTTGGTATTGCTCCTGATGACTGATCATTTATAGGTACAGTAAAAGGACTTGTAACTCTCATATTATTTTCAAACTCTATTGCCTTGTACTTGATTGAGATGCCGCTACCAATATCGAAAGCTTTATAAACCTTCATAGCGTCTTGTTCATATCGTACAGAACGTATTGATGAGACGTTAGGGACATTGGTTTTGCCCAAATAACCTTAGAAAAGAAAAAAGATCAGGAAGGCACTGAGCTTCAGCTAATGATGCACATAGCAGCACCCGGTAAAATCTCTGCTACCGCCACTTTGGTATTTGTAATCCCACCAGCATGCTCCATCCCTTCTTTTATATCGTGTGCATTCAGCAAATTATTTCCTGTAGCTATCCAGGACCGCATGCGATCCTTTGCTACTCCACATATGCGGTCACATATGTCCTTACCTTTTTGTACCTCACTATAGTCCCTAGTCAATAAGTCAAGACCAAGCTCTAGAATATGATACATTAGTTATCGAAGTAGCAATGGTATATAGAAGGCATACCCTGTGACAAATTACTCTTTCAGCTTCAGGAGTGTCATGCGATGAGAAATTTCCTGCATTGTATGTATGTTTATGTAGTTTCTTTATATGGGGATAATCAGCTTGAAACTGCTTCAAAATAATCTCACCAGCACTCCATGTATCGACTTCTGTTTGAGAAGCGTTAGTTAATGCCCGTATATATGATTCTGTCGAAAAACTATGTGTTGATGATGTAGTAGTTTTCACTGCACCTGGCACAGGAGAGTTGTAGATTTCTTTTTTCAAACAAATGAACCAATAAATACCGACATGCCTTTCTTTCCGAAATACTTTTTCTGAGACTCTCTGTACTCCTGTGGCAAAATTTTCTCACCCCAATCAAAGGTACAAAAAGCTTCATCTGTTTCCATTTCGGAAATTATTTTTGTCTTCTCACGATCCTGTTGAGCAAAGCGTATGTTGTGACGAGACCAT